TGACGTGAACGGCTTTATCCCGTCAAAAGTTTTCTCAGAAATAGAACGTTGCCTCACAGAAAATATGTTTGCCTCTGGTTTGCGTCAGATCAACGATGTTGTGAATACTAATGGCAGACTCCTCGATCTTGTGTTTGTCAATCTACGGGAGTACTTTGACCTCATTGTACCCTCAACTCCACCTTTACGAATTGACGACCATCACGCACCATTTATCTTGCTTCTTGACGAAAGCTGTAATGGCACAATCACAACGGACGATGGGGATGTGAGATTCAACTTTAATTTTCAGTCTGTGATTTTGGTCGTTTGGATGACGTGCTCTCAAACATCGAATGGGATGCTCTACTGTGACGGGAATCATTGGACGAGTCTGTATCAGCTTTCTATGATAAACTTTACGAAGTTCTTAGTGACCAAGTACCTCAAAAGAGACAACGAGCTTCTTCAGTCTACAACAAGCCATGGTGGACCTCTAAACTACGCCATCTACTAAACGTCCTCAGGAAAGCACGCAGCCGTTTCTTTCTGATGAAGTCCGATAGTGAGCGGAATAACCTTCAGGAAGTGGAAACAACGTACAAGGCACTTCTCTTTTCCACGTATGAAAGTTACATGGCTAAGATTCAATCAAATGTCAAGCAAAATCCTTCATGTTTCTGGAATTTTGTCAGAAGCCAAAAATCGGCTACTCGCATTCCAACTAACGTTAAATACGACGAAACCATCGCTAGCTCTAATTAGGAAGCAGCAAGCCTATTCGCCAAGTTCTTCGAGAGCGTATTTAGCAAATCATCGCCTGTTTCTCTCTTCAACCGCTTTGCCCATATTGCTTCACCAGACATAAATCTACCCGACGTTCAGTTTTCCGTTGTCGAAGTGGTGAAAGCCATTGAAGAACTCGACGTTGATAAAGGACCTGGAATGAACGGTATACCACCCTTGCTGCTGAAGAATTGCTCCACCGCACTTGCATCTCCCATAACATCTCTATTCAACCGTTCGCTGCATGACAGGATGTTCCCAGTGGCTTGGAATTCAGCTTCTATCATTCCAATCTACAAATCCGGCAACTGTAATCGAGTCACGAACTATCGAGGTGTTTCTGTCTTGTGTTGCTTGAGCAAAATGTTCGAAAAACTGGTGCATAAGGTTCTGTATAACGCCGTATCTTCATTAATCTCCGGCAGCCAACATGGTTTCATGAAACAACGCTCCACGACTACAAATCTGATGTGTTACGTCAACACCTTGTCTCGCGAAGTTGAACATGGACAACAAGTTGATTCGATTTATATAGATTTCGCCAAGGCCTTCGACACTGTACCACATATCTTGGTCATAGACAAAATGGTACACATGGGGTTTCCGGAATGGATAACGCAGTGGTTGTTCTCGTACCTGTCGGACAGAACCGGTTGTGTTGTAGTGAATGCGGCACAATCCCAGCCGTTCAACATCACGTCCGGTGTACCCCAAGGAAGCGTTCTTGGGCCACTGATCTTCAATATCTTCGTAAATGACTTGTGTATGCTGCTCTCTTCTTTTAACCTTTCTTTTGACGACGACTTGAAGATTTATCGTGTCATCACTTCTTCAGAAGACTGCATGGCGTTGCAAGAGGACATAAACGTTATGCTCGTTTGGTGTAGCGATAATGGAATGTGCGTGAACAGGGACAAATGCAAAGTTATTTCGTTTACGCGATGCACCAGGCCCATTGTCCATCAATTTAAAATGGAATCCGTCATACTGGAGCGAGTTCTATCGATTTGTGATCTGGGCGTTACTATTGACTCAAAATTGAAGTTTAACGAACATGTAGCTTTTATAAGCGCCAAAGCATTTTCTGCACTCGGATTTATTTGTCGACATGCTTCAGATTTTACTGATGTGTACGCCATCAAAACGTTATATTGTTCGTTGGTGCGAAGTATCCTGGAGTATGCTGCTCCTGTATGGACACCATTCTACGCGACGCAGATCTTAGCAATTGAGCGTGTGCAGAGGAAATTCATACGATTCGCTCTACGCCAGCTTCCCTGGACTGACCCAGTAAATCTTCCTTCTTACCCCGACCGATGCCGATTGATCAACTTAGAAAGTCTGTCATCGAGGCGAATTAAAATGCAGCGTATGTTCGTGTTTGATGTCATCACAGGAGGTATTGACTGTCCTGCACTTCTTGAGCAGATACCGATCAACATTCCTCCACGTCGCTTCCGAAGTTCACCTCTACTGGCAATTCCGTACCACAGGACGAACTATGGGCATCACAATCCACTTGATTCGTGTCTCCGGGCTTTTAATGAAGTTGACGACAAATTCGATTTTAACATGTCCAAAACTGTATTTTCACATAGGATTAGGAATTAAGTCTAGAAAATAGTATTAAGTAGTTCAGTCTGTGCGACTTAGTCGAAGGCGATGATCGTAAATAAATAAATAAATAAATAAATAAATAAAATGAATTTCGGACAGCTTTCTGGCCAAAAATTCTACATGGCGACGGCACGAGGAGATGTTCCTGCGAAGTTTAAGTTTGCTTTTATGGACAAATTTGCCAAACAACTGATGATTTGGCTAGGGATATGCAGCTGCGGAGCAAAGACCAAAGTGTTCGTGGCGAATAAAACGATGGACTCGAAGCTGTACAAGGAAGAATGCCTCAAAAACCACGTACTACCTTTCATTAAAGCCCATAAAGGTCCCGTGAAGTTTTGGCCAGATTTGGCGAGTTGCCACTACAGTCGGGAAGTCATCCGTGGTACCGTGATATTAACGTAGATTTCATCGATAAAAACATAAATCCACCCAACTGCCCACAGTTCCGGCCCATCGAGAGATTTTGGGCAATAATGAAGCGTAAGCTTAAGAAAAGTGGAAAAACGGCTCGGGACGCGATTCAGATGACCAAAATGTGGAACAAATGTGCCAAGGAAGTTGACGCCGGAGGTGTGCAGCGTTTGATGAGAGGAATAAAGAAGCGAACGGAAAAGGAGCTTTTCATCGAACCAGATCCCGAGATAGGTTACATTAGTAGACCACTCAACAGTGGGGGAAGCTTCATTGTTGCCGCACTCGGACCGGCAGAATTCTCGTTGTTGACGGCGTCAGTTACGTTCATAGTGGTGGCATCGTCGAGTCCACTTACACCATCTGACTGGCCCTGATAATTCTTCCTCTTCTTGAAATAGGTACATTCGAGCTACCGTCACTACTGTTCTTCTTCACCGCTTTCACACGAAGCCTGCTTCTGGACCGCAGTAAATCTGCGAACGTTTGGAACAAACTATTAACTAATCGAACAACTCAACAGAGCGAGCAAAAACCGAACTGAACTGCTTGACGGGTCAAGCAGAGCAAATGATCAGTCTGGGAAACATCTCTATTAATCGAGAGCTCCTTTGTAGGACAGCAGGCATTGAAAGCCTGATTCATATTAGTTAGTAAGTCATTCTCAACTTTTCCTAGAAATGCAATGGAAACAATATTGTTTAAGATGGGCTTATGTCGACTATTCATACTTGAGCTATACAGTTCCCAATTTGTTTTACGAGGATCTCTATAAACTTCTTTTAGTATATAATTTAAATGAAATCCCTTAACCCAGTCGGGTAAGGCGCAGCTACAACATTTCTCGACGTCCTTGGGCATAGAGTATCATTGTACTTACTACACAATTATACTAATGCAAAAAAAATGGTGCAGGCATCGAAAGCTATCATTTAATAACTGTGGAAGAGCATCTATGGAACACTAAGTTTTGAGAGCATTCAATAAGCTAATATGCGATAAGCTTGAAATGCGAGACAGAAGTTAACTTTCCTGAACTTCTATAAAGATTCAATTTTATGAATCTGAACAAAACCAAATCTGAAAAGAATTGATGACGACATGTGAAGACGTTTGTCCATTTCGATGAAGATATTTTCAAAATGCACCTGGAATCCCTGCCGTCGACACACAACGTCAAAGGAACAAGGGAAAATTAAGTTCAAAATAAAATTGCTTGGGGCCGGGTATCTGAGCCAAGAAACTAACAAAATTCAATTGGTACATTAACATTTAGTTTCCTATATGTCCACCTTGAATGGGTTGTCCTAGCAAAATCTCTTTGCGTGGAATAATTGGGTAATTTAACTAGCAAGCACTGATACATTGTTTGGTCCACACAAGTCTGAATCCAGCAATTCCAATACTATCTAATTAGCTAACGGCTTTCCCTATGCATAAATTATACCTGCCTATTATAGACCCACTTATTCTAGTGCACCTTTTAGATTACAATCTATCACTAATTGATCGAATACGAATATACACTGGCCTTAGACATTTCATTTTCTCAAAAAGATCGATAGTCTTCTTCTTATTCGCATTTCCAACTTATTGCTTATTGCATATTAGCTTATTGCGTGCTTTCAACTTAGTGTTATAGATCCACTTCCACAGTTATTAATTGAGAGCTTTCGATGCCTGTACCATTTTTGCATTATTATAATTGTGTGACAAGTACAATCACACTCTATGCCCAGGGAAGTCGAGAAATGTTCCAACCCGAAAAATTCCTAGACCAGACCGGGAATCTAACCCATGCACCGCCAGCATGGTCTTGCTTTGTAGCTGCGCCTTTACCGACTGAGCTAAGGGAGGCCCCGATCGATCGATAGTTTGACTGCCAAAGTTCACAGTCAGTAGTCATAATATACGTATGCAAACTATTATTTTTGAGTCTATATTTGTCAAACAAAAATCATAGAATTAGCACAAAAAAAGGAACCTATAGATTATGTTACTGTTCAACGTATCACACCATACAGAGGTCTAATCCACGTCCGTCGAATTGCCTTCAGCCACGTTCAGCGTCGCTTGGTAGTTTATATTTAAAAATAACAACCCAACCAATAACAACTACATCACGATCCTAATTCCGTCACGTCCCAAAACAAATGAGAGCTTAAAAGAGGAGTAATTTTTCCTCAACAAAATTGTTCACATACCTTTTGCTTCTTCCGTTGTTGGTCGCACACGCTATGGATTATTCGCTATCGCACATCGACCCAGGGAGCTTTTCACCTCCTTTTGGAGTGGCCAATTTTGCTGAAAGGCGTCGTACGAGGACGATCCAATATCCGCCCGTGTCCGTGTAGCACCGCTTCTGTATAAAGTTAATTTACTCCTTTTTTGCTTCCTTGCACTGACTGCTTCAACACTGCCTTTGTCGTCGTTCACTTGTGCTACGCTTTATCTCACTGAATATTTATTAGCATTTATGCAAGCTTTTTCACCGACAAAATTTTCCTCTTTCTGCTTTTTTTTCACTTGATTCACTCACTGGATTTTATGACACGACGACGTGCGTCGGGAGGGTGTGGAATAGAAAATCACTGCATGAACGGAAAAATAATGGACACACTCACATCCAACATCGCACAGTTGGCTTGGCTCTAGCTCTTTCTCTCTAGAGTCGACAACGAAAACAAATATCGGTGATTAAATTTTCATCCAGTTTGACCGACCTCCGTCTCCGTCATGAACCTTATCGTTGCGTACGGAGGGAGGTGAGATGCGGAATTTTGATGTTTTTAGCACCGTCGTCGCCTGCCACGTCTAGCCAGACTGAGCAACTCTTCTATGCGACACTTTAGGGAAATGGGACTGAAAAAATCTATCCGCCAGGGCACGTAAAAACAGAAAAAAAACTGAGCTAAACCTAAAAGGATTGTGAATCACAAGTTTAGCTGTAGTATAAACTTCCCACAGAAAAATGAATAAATCATTGCCAGTTTTTACATTTTCAGAACTTTAAGGTGGTATACAATAAGTGTGCAGTGTTTTTCAATGGCGAATTTCAGAAAAAAAAAGTAGAAGGGTCTGTGCCTAGGGGTACGAACGGAAGCTTGACGTAGGACCACTAGTGGACGGAACAAATGTGAACATTTAGTTCTTTTAATTGATCAATCATCAATTATCTTAACTCTTTCCGTTTTTTATTTGTAAGCGTATCAAATTTGTAGTATTTATTTCAAAGATAAATTTGATGAAGAGAATCCAAGGGACTGTCAACTTGAGTATTTTCGATTCATCTACCCGACTTTAAAAGGTGTATTTTGAATTTTTTGTTATTTATGAATTTTTAAGTTTATTCAATTAACCCCTCACAGGATTTCCTTCCGAATTATATGAATGGGGCGGGGCGGAAAGTATCGTTTGTGCAGAATATGTAAAAAAGGAGGGACTTCGACAGATTGAGCTCGTGAGAGCTAATTTTCTCACGAATTTGATTTTATTGGCTTTCTGGGGACTGAATATACACCCAAAGCGAATTATTCCCACTTCTCTCAAATTCTATATGGATTTTTAACACTTCCTACCAGCGTGTTCTGGAAAATGGTCAGAATATGATTAATCTCACCAATAAATTCGGGCCTTCAATTCCACACCTTCTATAGAAACCATGTTGAGCCTTGATAGCTAGCTGCTTGCGGTAACTGATGACCTTGACAAATGTCCACATGGTGGTCCTGAAAAGGACCATTTTGTAGTGATGGTTGAGTAATGCTGAGCTGAGCACGACGAGCTACTGATTCCGATCCTAGCCTAGAGGTGGGACTTCTTCCTCCTTCTCTATGGTTGCTCATATGAGCTCTGCAGCTCGCTGCTTGCAGGCAGCCTTTCGTTGTTGTTGTTGTTGAAAGCACTCCTGCTGCTACTACTGCTGCTGCTGGACTGGACACCACCACTTACGGTGATTGAATGAGCACCGTTCAGTGGGATCGCATCGAATTCGATTTTTAAGTCTGTGTTAGGGAATGCGATGTTTACAGTCATTCGGTGATAATTTTGATCACCATTGCAACAGTTGAAATTTGGTATTTTTCAATAGTAACCTATTGAAAATTAGCTAAGTGTTCATTTCAGCACATTGGTAGATAAATTTCCAATCGTTTGGCTTGTTTAGAATTAAAATTAGTTTTTTGAAATTGCGTGGATTCTATAGATCCTGTGGAGATCTATCTAGCCCTGATGTATGTGTTGGTAGAGGGAAAAAAGTAAACTTTGCGGGAGACGATGTCTTAACACTCGAAAGCAATTTTGTGAAATACGAAGTAAAAAAAAACCTAGCTAGTTCTGCATCATGATTTTGTTTGATTTTATTTATTTGTAAAGTCGCCCGTAAATACCCGCTGGCGATTTGTTTTTTATGATAACTCTTTACTTGAAAATAGGCAAAAACTCACAAACAGGCTGCTTTTTCATGGTATACAGTGTGATAATTCAATAATCAATAAATTATCTCAACATTTAGTGGCAAACCATTCATAAATTTTGGTAACATACAAAAAATTCTATAATCCACATTAAATTTCATATGTAAGCGCCGATTGAAACAATATTTTCGACGTCACTACAAGGGTGATTGATTAAACGAAAGAAACGAATCGTGCGGAATGAAAACAGAGGAAAAACTAATTGCACCAATATATTCAGGCCTACAATTCCACACCTTCTATAGACAGGTTGAGCCTTGATAGCTAGCTGCTTGCGGGAACTGATGACCTTGACCAATGTCTAAATAATACTCTTTAACAAATTTTTGGTGGCCCGGAAAAGGACCGTTTTGTAGTGATGGTTGAGTAATTCTGAGCTGGGTGTTCAACACGGATGAGGCTGTCGAGCTGTATGTCGTTTGGAGCGAGGGTGACACGCTTGGCATAGATGACCGACCCGCAGTGACTCACGAAGAGCTACTGATTCCGATCCATAGCATAGTGGTGCAGCTTCTTCCTCCTTTGATGGCTGCTTATGTGGGCTCTGCAGCTCGCTGCTTGCAGGCAGCCTTTCGTTGTTACTGGAGAACAATTTTCAACGCCACACGCTGAAACAACTACTACTGCTGCTACTGCTGCTACTAATTTCGACGACCGAACACCACCACACAGTGGTGTGATCGTTGGGAGCGTGTGGTTCTGAGTATGGCGATGAGTGTGCAAAATATTACGCAATTACATCCTCCCTATTCGCACGCGCCCGAGGATCAGAGGCGAATGCCACTTCGACTTGTTTCGTCTACTTACTACTCTCGACGACTGTGCTGGGGAAGCAGCATATGCATGTAGGTAATTGGTGGATTTGTTAGTTAATTCGACGCTTTTGGACAATGCTGGACACTTACCAGTTTTTCAATAGTTTCTTGTTGAAAATCAACATTCGGAAGCATTTTTATCAATGCGTAGCCATATTTCTGATCGATTGGTGATAAAATTATTGAAATTGAACCAGGGGCAGCTGAGTTATTAACGTTCAAAATCTTTCTTAATTTGTTACATGTTCCATTTTCGGTTTTCACAATGTGTACCCCCATATAGAAATCAAAGACGTAGCCCTACGTCAAAATAAATAAAAAGTACATGAAGATCATTTTGGTGTCTTCAAAGAAGTTTTTAGTTAAAAGAAGGCGCACCTGATGTAGTGGTCGTCCATAAATTATACTCATTAGGACGCCACTTGAAAATTCTAAGTTTTTTTACAGGCGATTTTCAAAATTAAAATGTTCTACAAAAGTGTAGAACTCATCATGTCCATAAGCTTTTAGCAAGACACACATTTTCTAGCATATCATTTTCATTGAGATATGAAGCATTAATTATGGAAGTCCCCTTAAAATTGATTTTTCGGTATTATTATTTTGGTTAGATTTTTCCAAGCCATACTATATTCAGGAAAACTTTTTTTTTTACTTTACAGAAACACAATTTTCTAGAAGACAGCACTACGCGATTTAGTAATCCACAAAACATACATGGATTAAATTCTTCAAAACATGACGTTTTACATACATTAAATCCCAAAATGGGGTAAATATTTTCAAAAACTATTACCATGGTGAGATTCTATATTTTGACGAACATTTTGGTGCAAAAAGAGTGGAGGAACAATTGTTTAATAACTCTTACGCAATTCACAATCGCTCTCCTCCACTCTTTTTGTACCGAAATGATAATGAAAATATGTAGAACTCATCACGGTATCAGTTTTTGAAAACATTTGCCATATTTTGAGATTTAACTTATGTAATTAACCAATGTATCTTTTGTGGATTACTAGATAGCGTATTGCTGTCTTAAAGTAAAGCAGGACCCACAATACTGCGTCACCGTCAGGGTCAGTATCAAATTTGATCTGATCAAAATTGACGGACTGACATAGCGGCGATGTGAAGTCACCAAGTAGATATGTCGGAGGAAAAGAAACTTGACATGTGTTACATCTGTCGTTTGACGGACGAACACCTTCGTCAACGCTGACGGTGACGCAGCATTGTTGGTCCAACTTAAGTGGTGTATTTTAGTAGAAAAAAAATTGAATGTTGTGTCCGAAGCACGACCGCATTGTTGACGTAGAACTACGAGATTTTCTGCTCCATTCATTCATATATAAATGACAAAATAAATGGTTTAGAAATTTAATTCAAAATGGGAAACCATTACTATTTTTCACGGATGTCCCTTGGAACTTTTATAAGAATTCATTTGAAATTATCTTTCTAATCCCCTCAGAATTCAATACTCTCGGAATTTCTTTGAAGTCATCATTCTCATAAGAACTCTCTTTACATTCTTCTCGAAATTTATTTGGAATATTCATTAAATATTACCCTGTAATCCTCTTTACAATTGTCATGTAATTTCACACAGAACCACCTAATAATTCTAATTTGAACTTAAACAATTGACTTCACGTTGTAGTCAAAACTCTATAAAAATACTTCCAAAAATTCCATTTGAATTTGTATCTTACATTCCCTTATTATCTCTAGAATTCATTCTTAAATTTTCTCTAAATTTCTTTGGAATTTTCATCAAAATTATCGAATAAGTTCTTCAAAGTGATTGTATCCGGAAAACCTAGTAGTTGAGAAGATAATTATTTTCCAAGGAGAGGACGAAGTATATTTTTCCTGGTTCATGATCGAAATTCACGGACTTCTCCCGGTGATTTAGAATTTCCGGCTTTTTCCCGATTTCCCGGCTCATTGCTCACCCTGTGTCCAGTATACAATAGGTCTTATCCAGGTGAATAACATTACTAGAGATAGCAATCTCCTATCTAATCGAAACACAGAAAACGAAGCTAACTCATAGAGTAAGTATGTTTGCTCATTTCAAAAGGTCCTATCTGCTTTGATCAATTCTCTTCATCGACTTTCTCTTTTGATAACCACGCCTACGCAAACATATATCGTTCTCTTTTTGCCATTCAGTTTGATAGCAGAAGTTGTTGTCTTGCGCTTAGAACTTTGAACGCAGCAAGGAATGCTTTTGAAATTGAGTTATTACCGAAATAGATAGTCGATGAAGAGAATAGATGAATGCAGATAGCACATGAGTAACCTGTGTAAAAGTGACTCACTCTCTGAATAAGATTCGTTTTCAGTGAGTGTAGACTGCATAAGCAAGC